GAGAACTCAGAGGAAAATGAACTTTACAAATATATTGTGTTCTGTGCATTTTTACAGGGATTTGTAGATTTTATTCAATAGGGTGTCATGTTGCATAACTCAGCTCCTGGGTTTATTCATGATTATTACTTAGTACCCAATTGTATCCCTAATTAATTAAAAATGAAAGTACTCCATTAGCAACTTCAGTTAATTGAAGTGGTTAATATGCCAAATTAAGTCCAGCCAGTGGAGAAGGGAAGTATTCAAATCCTAAACTAAAATTAAACTGATGTTTTGGACATTTTATAGCTTAAACAGTCAAATTGATGAATCTACTTTCTCTTTAAAACAGGCTTTCAAATAGGGACTTTCAATAAATAACTTCAGTGTCATTCAAATGGTAATGTTATTTTCAATACCTCCTTACTAACTAGCAAATACAAGTGACAATTACGGAAAAAAAAAAGAACAAAAAAAAAAGTGTCCTTTGTTGCACCCTTTTTTCTACAGATCTTTTACGAATTGATTTCATGGAAAATCATTTTTAGTAGCTTGCATGTCATGTGACCTTTTAAATATAAATCCATAGCAGGTATTATTACTACACTGGACGAGTAGGACACGTCTCTTATTGGATTTTAGTACACCTGTTTTATATTCATATTTACACTGTATTTGAACATTCCTTTTTTGCTTTTCTGAAAAGTCACAATTTTGTTCAACAGCTTCTACATCATGTGACCCATTGACTCTAAATCCATACAACATGTCATTAATAAATTGAACACAAACAAGAAAAAACGTTTTTAGGGATTATTCTATAAGATGACTTTATACAAATATTATTAAGATTCAGCAGTTCAGTTTTTTATCAATAGCTACCATGTCAAATGTCCAGTGACTCCGAATCAATGCTGAATTGTATTATATATTCTACACGGCAACACCTCTTCATTGGATTGTATTGATTTTTTTCTACATTATGTGATAACTGTTGAAAAATATAGTGGAGCAATAACACCTATGGATTTGTCACTGGAGTCACTCGGTCAGATAACACGGAAGATAAAAACCCTGAACTGCACACTTTTTAAATTATTGCAAGTTAGCATGGAGGTATTATAAAAAAATGTTTTGTGTCATTCAAACCGTAATTTACTGAAGGTCCTGAAATGTCCTTAACACCCCTGCTTGATTCATGACATAAAAACTGTGCTAATGTGGCAAGTTATTGTTATAGTGTTTTCGGTTTCATTACTTCAGAAAAAACGGATGTTTCTCTTATTGGTCACTAGAACAAAACCAGATTAAACAGAAGTGTCCTGAATCCTGAAGCACACAGGAGTTTGCTGTATCGTTAAGGACTGGAAATGTGTTTTCATCTCTCATGGTGCTCACCAACAGGCATAACGTAATTTCATTATCATTAAAGACATTTGTAAATTATTAATAGAACGATGAACATCTCATAGGCTCATAAAAGCCATTATTGGTGGTGTGTGTGTGCGTGGTATATATAACCTTTTATTTCCATTGTCAGTGTCGCATTATATTGTATGTAGGGATTTTGTAAACATCATTTTTAGAAAAGGGCTATACAAATGAAGTTATTCAAAATGGTCTGCAGCATCCTAATTTAAATACAAATGGCACATAAAGCTGAAAGTGTGGGTGGAAACAGTGAATCCTGCATTGCTCACATTGTCCTCTAGTCTCTGCTGGTTACTAATGAGCAGGAAATGCCCCCCGCTCAGCCTGCAGCTGCTAATCTTGGTGCAAACACACACACACACTTTTTGATACGAGTGAACATGTTCTAGCTCCATTTGCAGCACCAATGTGTATTATCAACTGGATCCATCACAACAGACCAAATTGTGTTTTTTTTTATTATTTTTGCATGCATTTATTAAAAGGAATTCAACATTTAGGTGCAAAAATTAGGAAAGTGATTTTGTCCAGAATGTTGTTAGAAACAAAATATCATAATCATAATCAATCAAGTTTATTTATATAGCCCAACATCACAAATGTTAAATTTCTCTCAGTGGACTTCACAGTTTGCACAGAATATCAGTATGACAATACGACACCCTCTGTCCTTAGACCCTCACATCATACAAGGAAACACTTCCAGAGAAAACCCACAGTTTAAAGGAGAACATGGGAGAAACAGAGGAGGGATCCCTCTCCCAGGACGGACAGACGTGCAATAGATGCCGTGTGTAAATCGAAGAGATAATACATTTTACAGCGTAGGTAGACCAAATGTTTGGAAATGCATGTGTCTATAATAAGAAGATGAATCCAGGAGGATGTCAACAATCCTGTGGGAGCCATCAGGGAAGTAGTATGATGAGTCAGGCAGGACCACAGAGTTGTAATGGACGTTGTGAGGAAAATGCTGGCAACACTTTTAAATCAAAGAAGGATTGTGCAACAAAAGGTTAAATGTCACTTGTCCAACATGTGCATTGCCATAACGTGTATCATTAAAACGTATAGGATACATCCCAACAGAATAGCCAATTGGGGTTTTAGGGCATTTTTGCATGCATGCATTAAAGGGTTAAACATATAAAGATCACTGTGGTGCCAGAAAAGAGAGGATAGTGAAGAAGTCAAGAATGGTTTAAATACTTCACAAAAACAAAGAAACTGTATGAGGGTGTGAGTAAAATGCTGCCAATGTATAAATCAAAGGAATAAGTGGAATCAAATCCATATAGATAGTTCTAACATCTGTGGTGCTACAGATCAGAACAGAAACATATGCTTTTCATTTTTCACCAACAGGTGGTCATTTATCTTTTGCAGACAGGTGCATTACGTTTAATTCCATCCATTAAATCATGCAGTAGCAAATTGGGGTTTGATCGCACTTTTGCATGTATTTATTAAAGGTTTTTCAAAGATGTAGATCATTGTGGTGCCAAAGATGAGTATAGTTGGGATCCTAAAGTAATAGGGTCCAGAAGGGTTGTTGATACACGAAAGACTGTAATGGAGGACGTAAGGAAAAGGTTTCAAATGGATAAACCAATAGAATGATTTAAAGAAAGTCCTTATATTGTGTGGGAACATCTTGTGGACATAGACAGATGATTCCTGCACCGGTGTGTCAGGACCGTCAGGCGTTTTCCACACATCAGCAATACAGTGGGCGAGTTGAGGCTGTATACCGTTAGTATAGAGCTGATCACATAGATAGCCTCACCTTGTCTCTATGGTAACCTGTTGTGTTTCCAGGAGGGCTTTAATGGATTGTCACGGCCTTGAGAGCCAAACAGCGGTGAGGCATCTACAGTCGGAGTCTAAGTGACGATCAGAAGCAGCGGGAGGGGGGGGGGGGGGGGGATGTCCCTGAATCTTCGTCCAACATGTTGCACTGCAGCTCACTGAATTATTGTTGCTCAAAAAAAGTGTTTTTCTGCTGTTTCTTTGGAAAAGTCTGTCTGAACTAGCAGGGGAAATGACAATCACCCCATCACCCCAGCCACAAACTGTTCTTTCTGTTGCCGTCTGGCAGACGTTACCGCAGCATCCTGGCAAGGACAAGAAGATTCGGAGACAGTTTCTTCCCGCGGGCAGTGAGACTGTTAAAAAATTGAACTGTTGAAACAACTTCAAACATTCAACTGCTACTCAGTAGTATGTATCTAATACCTAATATATATATATATCATTCCAATAACTTGTATATAGACTCATACTGCACTATTCCACATCATAACTTTATTTCATTTTTATAACTATTATTATTTTTGTATTGCTCTTGCTCTTATTGTTATTATGTTATGTTATTATGTTGCATTGTTGGAGAAGCCTGTGACATAAGATTTTCAACTGCATAATTACTCTGTAGCTATGTCAGATTGACAATAAAGAACCTTGAACCGGTCTAGTAATCTTTTAGTCAGAGAGCCACTACATGTTACTTTCTAGATTAAAGGCTTTGAAACAAGTTCAACATCCGATAGGCTCGTACCCGCAAAATGTCAAGAAACTGGGCTTTTCTAATCTAATGGATAAATATTCTGTATATGGGGTTTTAAAAATGCACGCGCTCCAGTGCCACCTAGTGGGATTAACATTTCAATACTGCATACTTTGACTTGTATTTGACCTACAGCAGAATGTATTTTAAGATGACAAATGGACAAACAAATATGAAAATCATATCATGTGTGTCAATGAATTCAGATAACTGCAGTGTGCTCTTAAGCATTTCAATGAAACTGTATTTATATGCATGTATGTATTAGCAAGGTACAGATGTAGTATCAGTATGTACTACATGTTTTAATTAAGTTTTCATGTTTATTTTCCAGGATTAAGATCATTTGTTGCATTGAGGAGAGTTATGATTTTAAAAAGGAAAAAGGTCCAGAGAAGTTTTAAAAACATGAAATACTTGATAGAAATGTAAAGAAATTGTTATGCAGTAAGTTCTGCCAATATACTGCATTTCAATTTTATAAAACTGATTAATGATGATTAGATTAACACAATAGTTGTACATTTGTAATTTCAGGTGAACAAAAACAGAATTAGTACATTTTGAATACCTTTACCTGCCATAGAATTATTAAACATTGTGCAGAAGACTGAATAAAAAGCCTTTTACACTTCCCCGTTTAGTTTATTGGTAACTTTGGTCTAATATTACTTTCCAACTGATGCCAAGTTAGAGGGCAAAGAATGACATAACAACCGTTTCATTTCAAATCTGCAAGAGCTTTTGTGTCTTTTAAGACATCAAACGCTCCTCAGTGAAGTTTCTTCCGCTCTGCAGAGTCTGGGGGTCAGGGGTTTGACCTGTCGGTCAACAGTTGGGTTTTTCTATAACAATGCTAGTCCTGAGCCTCAGAGACTAAATTAGCTCCTTAAAAAGTCAGCTGTGCAACACCTGTTACATCTTTACACACCCCCACCCACACAACTAAAGCTACATAAACACAAACAGTCATTCAAGAACCAAAAAGCCTTGAGGGCCAACTTTTATTTAGGGCGGATATTTTAACAATACTGAAATAATGGCCTTTGACATAAAGATATTTACATGTGCTTTGTCAAATACAAAACAAATCTTTAACAGCACAGGTCCAAATAGGAAACTTTTGAGGACAAAACCACTGCATACTCCGAGTAGTGAAATCAACACCACCACATTCAATCAGATTTAATGAGGCATCATAACGTTAGAACAATCAGATATTTGTACATCATTCTAGGCTTGGTTAACTTGTTGTACTTCAGTCTGAGATTCCCCCTTCAAATCCACACACAACCCCTCAGAGAGATCTATGATACAGGATGGAAATAGGAGACAAATAGTCCAGAGACAGTCCAGTTGTAGCCTACTTCCAGGAGCCAGACTTGCCTTTGGCACTGCGGGAGGTCTTGGCTACTTTGGAGCCCCTCTGGTGATCGCTCACTCGGTTCCTCAGCACCGCGATGTCGTATTTCTGCTTCTTCAGCTTCTCGGCCAGCTCGAACTTCTCTGCGTGGAGCTGGTGGAGCCACTGCCACAGGTCCTGGGCCTTCTCCGCCAGCTTCTCCTGGTTCAGGTGGTCGATGTTGAACGGCTTCCTGCGCTCCATCAGGGCCTTCTTCTTCTCCTCCCGCGCCGTCAGCTTCTTGCCCTTCTTCTGTTCCACCTTCTGCAGGTAGCCGCCGAAGGACTTGTTGGTGAAGATCATCTTCTTCTTGGCTTCCTCGTCGGCGCGCAGTTTGGCCGCCTCCTCCTCGCGCCTCGCCTTCTCCTCGGCCAGGCGTGCTTGCCGCTCGCGGTCCTGCTCGGTGCGCACGCGTTGTTGCTCCGCTCTGTCTGAACGGCGACGCTCGATGCGGGTACGAAGATGGATGAGGTCTTCCTCCTCCTTCTGGCGGCCGGAGAAATGGGACTCGATGAGGGTCTGGAGGTCATTGAAGTCTTTTTCTAATCTCTTGCGATGAAGGTCGTCAAAATCCACCTTCTCACCGTCAGGGAGTTTTGGAGGAGCGATATTTGGAACATAAGTAGTTTTAGGACGCCATTTGGAGTCGTCCTCTTGCTCATTTTCCTCTGCAGGCTTCTCTTCCTTCTCTGCTTCTTCCTCTTCATTCATCTCGTCTTCATTCACCTCCTCCTCCTCTTCCTCCTCTTGCTCATAGTCCTCCACAATGTCCTCTGTGTCAGACATGATGGTACGTGGGAGGTTTTCCAGGGAAGAGAAAGCAGGATGAACACCAAGACCAGCTGGTGTTGTGCACACAGGAGATGAGTGGGGTCTCGGGCCTGAAGAGCGGGGGGTTTTAAAGCTTTGCCTTCACCATGTGACGTCAGGCGGACCAAAGTCTCCAGAGTGTGGGTCAGAAGCAGGGCGGATTTTGAGACAGATGGAGGAGTCTATTTTCTCCTCACCAAACTTCAGACTTACTTCCCCCCCCCCCCCCCCCCCCCCTGTTCTCTACTCTGACCCTACAGCGCCTCCTCATTCCTTTGTAAGGACAAGATGAGAGACTATTTCAGATACACAACAGATGCGCACACACACTGGTGCTTTCCAGGCCCACAATGCAACACTTAGTATCATCAGGAACAAATAACATTCATACTTTTAGAGGCCCACCGAGCCTCTGGTGCTGACAGGAGACAGAGATGTGGAATCTGGTTTTAATAGAGAACAATGTAGAGTAATTAATAGATATTTTACCCAGGGCTGCCCAGGCTTAGTTGAGTTATTTTGTGGGTGGGTAAACACAAGGTTAAAAATGGTGCTGTTGCCATCTTTGTGGAGAAACTCAGTCTTACAGATTTGTCAATACAAATCAAGAAATGTCATTCCTTTAGTCGAGGACAACCTTAATAGCGTGCACACATTAGGGGACTTATCATGCTAGTTCTAAAGCCACTGTGGTGTTTAAGAAGTTCCATTAACAAAGCACAATGCAATCTCTTAAGTGCGTCAGAGCTGGTGAGGATTTTAATGACGGGAAGCTACAGCTGTCACAATAACCCAACGTGAGTCATAAACTTAAATATCCTGCACCCTGTAGCCTTAACAAAATAACCCTGTAAAGCTGTCATCTCTTGACAAAATCTTGTGCTTTTAATGCAAAAACCTTGATTTTTTAAGTGACAAGTAAGTAAAGCTGTAAGCAACATGAAGTTAAGTAAACAGTACTACTGTATATGTTGTACCGTTTTGTATACATCTAAAAACATTTTTGTAAAGTAACCATTGTTATAGCAGTCATTTCAAAAATGAATGTTTGGATAACAACTGTCATTTCTGTAAAGAGTAAACTGCTAAAAGCCCCACTGAAGACCTCAGTAAGAGCAATGCCGTGCAAGATGAGCTCTACTGCTCATCTTGCACGGCCATGTCTCCACTTTGGAATGTAATTAAAACATTCTTGCTATTAGAGGCTTTCAGCTTTCAGCGCTGTGTGGATTAAAGTGTAATTGCTCCAACGCTGCAACACTTAAATGTCGATGTCAAGAATTTATGTTTCCAAGTCTTGAGTTATCAGTGGAGAGAGACTGAAGCGCAGTTTGTAGAGGATGAGATAACTGACTGAGAGAGACAGGTGCTCTGTGTCTGAGAATCCCAATGAAAGAGTTTCATACGCCTCCTTGGGATGAACTTCCTGACGTTAGTCTTCTACATGTACGTGGCAGATAACACGATAAAATAGGAATACATATCTAAAAATACTCCATTACAAGTCCGGAGTTCAAATTTTAGCCAAGTAAAAGTACATTAGTGTTGTGATGCCTATTAAAATGTCCCACGGCTGTGTTATCCACGTTAAACACGTCTGTGCACTACAGGAGACAGCAGGTGGTTCCTGTATGCTCAAAGCACTCTTGTGGTGGCAGGGGACAACTGTGTCCATCAGCAAAGAAAAGCAACAAATGATCCATGCTATAAATACCAATACCCTCTGCTGTTTAATACAGTCCGAAATAAACAGATGAGTCGTTAAAAACGCATACAGTTCAGAAACTCTACTCTTTCAGTAGTAGAACTCAATGAAACTGGTTTTGGGTCTAATTAGGGAACACTTCTATACTATCATTGCTTAATTGATAATGAAGTAAGGTTTTTAACAGTTTAAAAAACTATAGAGATGGGTTTATTTTACCTTTATTAGACGTTTTACCCTAACTTCTGATGTTTATATAAATATCCTTACTTTATCTTTAAATTAACATTCTTACCTTAACTTTGTATGTTTTTATATGTTATTGTATTCCATTCTAAAAAGGAGCAACCATCATGAAACCCATTGTTTAGCTGGGATAAAGTATTTATATTCTGATCAACCAAGAAAATGTCACTTCAAAGTCCCTTTTTTAATCAAATTGAAGTCCTTTGATAATGTGTTTCTTTTGTATTTGGTCTTAATTATTGTTTGTGTAAAGTTATTCGCCTTGCAACTTGTCTAATTGTTGAAAATGTCTATTTACACACAGTACAACAACTTGACTTGCATTGATCCAGAGTAAAGCAGTCATTTGTCATGTCCTAATGAAGCCAGTGGTTTTCCCCAGATGGAATAACTTTAAACTTTGTTTAAACTTTAATTAGTCCAAAAGAGTGCCAATCATGGAAGAAGCACTTTGGAAGGAAACACTTGGCACACAGCGTCCTCTTCTGGTTGGATGTATGCATTACACTATTCCCAGTTTAAATTATTGATGCTTAAAATGCACCATAAAAGAATACATACATAGGCATACACTAAAAATACAAATGGAACAGGACTAGAGAAATAAAATACATTGTTACTCGCCCATCAGAATCACATGCAACCCTACATTTGGTTGCAGAAGCCAGGAGTGAATGTGCAGCTATATCCCTGTTAGCCAATTGTGTCTGCTTGACCCAAACACAGATAAAGACGAGCAGGTAGCAGGAGGAACAATGCAATAACTTAATTGACAAAATACTGACAGGCTAGAATCTAAAAGAAAATAGCTGAAAACTACAGGTGAGGTATCCGAATTTCAAACAAAAAAGTTACTATAAACCGAAAAAAACGAGTAACAGAGCAGGTATTTGTAGACCCTTTAATTTGGGGATTGACAACAGGTGGCTGGCTGCTGGGCCAATGGGACACAGGGGAAACGAATTAGGGCGGGTCAGGTAATCAAATTGGCGGGAAAACAAACACACGAAGGCAAGAGGTGAGTGTCCTTTCAAAATAAAACAGGAAACAGAACAACCTGAAGCCAAGGTTGTGACAATTTCTTCGAGAACTATGTTATTTGTTGATGTGCATTTTGAAAACAGATATATTCACATGTGGGCAGTTTCTCCATCTTGTGCCCTCTCATTAACAAACAACTTTGACAAAGGGACATGTTCAAACATGTTTAACATATTTTAAAAGAGAAAGAACACACAAAAGACAATGAAACAATAAAACACAATGAAAATGGATGTGGTTCCTTCTAATTCAAATGCTTAAATAATCTGTGAAAAGAACCATTACTATCCTCCTGTGTGGACTCTCATGTGTGACTTCAGACTAATCCCTATAAATGTGATTTAATTATAAATTAGACTCAAAGTATTATCTTAACAACTTGAGAACTTGGCTTTATTGATGTGAAATTTCCCCAGTAGCAATAATACATTGTCTACTGAACTTTCTGGTTGTTGTTTGATCAGAAATCAGGTAGATATGTTTCTGATGTTTAACACCGCCCCCCTCCGGGCTGCACTCACATATCTATCATGTGTTTCTGCTCTCTGACTCCGCCCAGCTCCCCCTCCCATGTTATGAAAGCAGGGCAGTCTACACATGATCGGAGTCCTCCGGCTGAAAGGCTCGAGTCGGAAGCTGGTAAAATGAGCTGTTTTATCATTCTTTTTCCACACAGTGTGTTTTCTTCGGCGCTGTCATAACGTATTGCATGCTTTGTCTGTCTCTAGTGTGGCACTGGTTTTACCATAGCCTATAAATGTTCTGTGCATTGTGCCAGCACTCCGGACACAGTGTTCCCTCTGTTTGTTCCAGCCTCTGAATACTGAGTGAGAAAACATTCATGATTCATGCATTTAAGTTCAACTTTACTCTTACATCACATGTCTTAACTATATTTTAAACGTTCTGATATCTTTATTTATTTTCAGTTATAGGAATGTGTAGTGTGTAGTGGCAGTATGCATGTGTCCATGAAGTCATAAGGGGTCATGACTTAAGTGTTCATTTTAGTTTCTTTGTGTCTTAGAACTAAGTCAAGGACAAAACAACACATTATTTGATGTGTTTTTTCTGACTTTAATCTTTTAGTTTTCTTCATGGCTTTTCTTGTGAAATACTATTTCTTATTTAAAGGTTCTGAAATGTAAACATTTGCTGGTTGTTGGGGGTTAGGGATCCCCGATTACTCCATTTCATGGTTGAATTTACATTTTGTGTACTGTTTAACAACAAATATATATATTTTTAGGCATTTTCAAAAATAAATGTGAGTGATCTGCATCTGTAAATGGTACTCAGTAGTTAAGAAGTTTTTTAAAATCATTATTTTGAAATTCTTATGATTCAGAATCTTAGTAGATGCAAATGTCGATTCTATAAGGAATCAATTTGTTCCTCCATCCCTTTTCTAAAGGTCTACGGTGTTCACTTTGATGCACTTATACCTTCTATTTTCTAACTAGTTTTTGTTCTCCGTGCAGATCCACTATGCTTCGTGTCACCACTGCCTCCCTGTGCTCCTACTGCCAGAGGATAAGGCTGCTCGTCCCTAACTCTGCCTCGGCCTTCACAGTGACATCCCCCAACAAAAAACCTGAGAACCAGCTCACCGTGGACTCCCTCTACAAGCTGTCGGTGGACATCCGGAAGGTGCGCAAGTTCAAAGCCTGGGTTCTGTCTGAGAACTCTTCGTATGTGTCTGAAACGGCTGACGTGTTGAGGGACATGGGGGCGGACACAGCAGTGATCGCTCTCATCCTGGAGACCCACCCTGAGGCGGTCCTCTGTCGGCCCGAGGACGTGGCCGCTCAGCGGGACCTCTGGGTGTCCGTGTGCCCCAACAAGCGTGAACTCATGAGGATCATCGAGAAGTTCCCGGCCTCCTTCTTCACATTGACTCACTATAGCAACCAGCGGGACAACATCCTCTACCTCCAGAGCCTGCGCCTCAGCAACAGGATCATCGGAAAGCTGATGGCCAGCGCCCCGCAGAGCTTCAGTCGCCCCGTGGTGCTGAACAAGGAGGTCATCCACACGCTGAGGGAGACCTACCTGGACCTGGGCGGAGATGAAGGCAACCTGCGCATCTGGCTGCAGAAACTCCTCAGCCAGAACCCGTTCATCCTGCTGCGGCCGGCTGAAGCCTGGAGGGACAGCCTGGGCTTCCTGAGGGAGCAGGGCTTCTCCACGGAGGAGCTACTCGGCCTGGTCTCCAGCCTCCGAGCCTCCATCGCAGAGCTGCGGCCTGAGTGCATGCAGCAGGCCCTCGCCTTCATCGAGGAAGCTCTCGAATGCTCCAAAGACGAACTCAAGGTAATTGTGATCCACTGCCCCGCCATTTTGTACTACTCTTTACCAACGCTGGTGGCTCGGTTTCACGGACTGATGGATGTTGGAGTGAGCATGGAGCAGGTGAAGGAATCTCCAAACGTCCTGGAGCTCACCACTCAAATCGTGCTTTATCGCATCCAGAAGCTGGCGTCCTACGGGTACGACGTGCGCTCCGGCAGCCTGGACGTTGTCGTGGGAACCAAGAAGGACTTTGAGATGAGTTATGGAAAGCTGCAGCTCAGGCAGCAGAGGCCGCTCTTCAACCCTGCAGCTCCTCTCAGATCTGCTGAGGACTGAATGACAGAATGTATCGATATGCTGCCATTGCACAGTATGAGGAAAATATGCAAATAGTTGTTGAATATCGTGATAACGATTTTACTTGTGATTAGAAAAAAGAGAAGTATGCTCTGTTCTGGTGCTTTCAGTATACTTAAGTAAAACGTATAAATGCAAGTACATTATTGTTTTATTGAACAAATTGAACTGCACCAAAAAGAAGAATGATAGCTACATTTTAAAGTGCAATTTTCTACTGAAACTACTCTGTGTAGATGTACGTTGATGTCATGGTGATGACTAAAAAATAGACACTGATTTTAGTGGGAAAATGTTATTTGATGCTGATTTTGGGAGGGGTTTACAAATTCATCATTCTTGCAAGACACAATAAAGAGGGAGGCAGGTTCAAGTAAAAAACAAACCTTTAGCAATACAGTTGTTTCTGTTGAGAACAGCTTTATTGTGAAACTAATGCCTCTCTGCCTGTGGCCTTCATTATGCTGAGTGAAGATATGACACTTTCAACTACAGAAAACCACCAAGTACTGTATCTTCTGTGACAACTGTTGGAATAGTGAAGCATGGAAATGAGTGCCATCCTTGTTAATCAAGATGTACTACTGTACTTACAAAATGTTTGTGGTTACTTACCATGTGCAATAAATGGCACATTTAACTATGTATTTGTATTTATTTTGTTATCGTTTCGGTGTTAAAAAGCTGCTTTTCCTATCAGACTCAATTAGAAAAGTCAATATTCAGGGCAAACCTTTGCTTTGCCAGAGCCGAAATAAGACACTTATTCCAGTCTTTTCTAAAGGTTAAACGATTTACAATTTGTCAGTTCCCAACGCTACATTTAAAGAATAGACTTAAACCATTTGTATAGTTAATCAGTTTTATTAAAGAAGCACACTTAGAAAGAACAAGACGCAAGTAAAGCAGTTCTCTCTAAAATAATAATACATGGTATTTATATAGCTTCTCATTGTGCTCAAAGACGGTTATGTAGTACATTTATTGAGGCTTATACAAGGTGGTAGATTTGAAGAATATGTATTTCTGTCGGCTTTTTTCAGTAACAGTTGATCTGGCAACAACTTGATAAAACACTGATATGGCCTCTGCAGTGTTGAGGTTCAAATCAGTAGCAGAAAGAGAAAAGTAATGATTGAAACACTTGTTGATAAACATCTTGTACGGCTTAAAAAGGAGTAAAATTAGATAGTCTAATAAGTGAGAGAACAGGCAACTGTATTAGGGTAGATACAAAAAAAAGTAAAAATTGTTTCGCTCTTGAATGGATATTTTAAAAAGGTTGTTTTATTCAACATTTTCAAAGAAAACAAAAATCCATCCACAATGATTTCATATATCAAAAATATATCAATGGGTCTATGGCTACATAGAGAGAAAACGCACATACAATATTCAAATATGTACAAGTTGTATGTCAAATTAGCAAATTCATTATATACACACGGACTGTTGTCACGACTACGTTAACCTAAAGATAAGAACACAGTCGCTTCAGAGTCGTCAGTACGTCGCAGTGCTTTGAAGTCCACATGATAATATTCAGTCCTGTTCGTGTGTTTAATGATGCTCCTGTTAAAGTGCAACAGTCAAGTGCTGGGACAAAAATGTAAGTCTTAACGTCCATTTTGTGTTGGCTGTGTGCAGATACTCCTGTAAGGGGAGAGAAATCACACATTAACTGACAACGAAAAATGATTCTGCAAATGACTCATCACTCCTGATAAATGCAAACTGGGCCAGGTAGAAGATGTATTGGCTTTACATGATATATATGGGAAAAGTATAAATACTTCTGCTGAATTCTAACATAAATATAGCTGTTAAAAGGAATATTTGTATATCAATTACTCATCCTGTTATACCTTAATGCAAATCATTGGTTTTTCTCACCTACCTCCGTGCAAAAGAAGATTCCAAAAACTCAGTGATATGCATTCATACTAAAACCTTACATTAATATATAATATGTCTCCATTAAAAGTATTTTCCTACTCGTCTAATTATTCGTAGGGGGTTTGAAATAAGTTTCCAGCTTACGTTTAGTGTGTACTCTGTCTCTGGATTTTAGAGCCTCTGCCATTCCTGGGGTCCTCGCAGGGTCTTTTCCCACCGGACAGAGTGGAGACGTGGTGTTCAGGTCCTGATGTAACAAAGAGAACAGTTTAGGAAGCTGCCCCAGAAATACAGTTTTACTATATCTGTTACTTAATACAAAAAAGAGCTTATGATAAAGGTATTGGACTTCACAGGCTGTTTCTAAGGAGGAATTTTCATCCAAAGATACATCTTCAACCAATTCATATTTTTAGAGACTATGGTGTAAGTAACAAAAAGCTATTGCACATATTATGCCGCTCACCAGATGGAGCTGCAGCAGCGTTGTGGGTACCATCAGCAGAGAACCCCATCCCTTCAGAGGACGTCTCTCCGTTACCGTTGGAGATGGAGGGAACTGAAGCCAGAAGGCCTGAAGACACAGACAGACAGTCAGCAGCTGATACAGACTATAGTTACTTTAGACAAATACGCAATCAATGCCAATTACTGCTAGTTCAGAATGTTTACAATAACCAATGGTGAGTTTCCATGTTGAGTTTAAAATATTTGAACTGCAGGTAGACCTGTAGCCCAAGGCAGGTTCTTGTTGGCTATTTTCTTTTCTCTAAAGGTTATAATTGTTGACATGATTATGTTGACGGTCTTTAGAATGCCTTGAACAATGAGATTTAAAAATGTGACCTAACCCTATTTCATTTTTTTAAATGTCATTGTAGTATTCCAATGTTATTTTAACTATTTAGATAAATATTTTTAATTTGACTGCTTTATTTTTTTATTTTTTTTATGAACAGATTTTTCTCTATTTTATTTTGCATTCTTAAATTGCATTAAAACATTTGTATAATACTGAAATGTTATCTAACTGTTTTGTGTTGTTCAACTCCTTACAGTACATAACCCTGAACCTACCCCTGCATATAAAAGATGATTTATGGGAAGCTGACAGAGGCAGACAGGGCAAAATGGTCTAGGTCATTTTTAAGTCTAAATTAAAAAATAAGCAATGACCAGTTCTTTATATTCTGAAGGGTAAAACCTGCCTCAGTATTTTGTTTAAATAACTTCTTAAAAACGGACATGTATTAACTTTCCTCTGGTTAAATTAGACAACAATAATACAAGTTGATCCTCAGGTGGTAGAATAAAGATTTGTAATAAGTGGATGCATCTGGTGGTGTGTCCTCACCGAGGCCTCTGTAGCAGGACAGCTGCTGGTAGATCTGCTTCATCCTCTCGATGTTGAGCCGGCTGGCCTCTGCGTGGTTCACCATGGGTTTGGGGTAATGCACTCCAATGATACACTTGGCTGCCTTCTGCACACCTTCTGGAGCGTTCCAGGGATCATAAATGTACTTGGCTGGAAAGTCTCTGAGAATGGGCAGGTAGCGCCTGAGTGAAGAGATAAAGAAGAATTTATGGGGATGTCATTTATCGTTGTGGTATGATTTCATGACACAGGTTAAAAACACTAGCTATTAAGATATCAATTTAGCATCCCAGCAACAATTAAAAGGTATCACTTTCTCAGCATACCGTATGTAGTCTCCGTTGGGGTCTGTGCGTTGGCCGAAACCCACCGGGCAGTAGCAGTGGAAGAACTGCTGGAAGAAAGAGCTGCAGGAGAGCCACATCCAGCTGCCTGCGTTCACACTCCAGTCTGCATCCAGCAGCAGCTCCTCGAACACCTGAACACACACACAAGCCAAAATGTGGTTAATATCACATAAAGTAGTGTATACATTTGGATTTCTTTTCTAAATAGCTTTAAAAAGGGTATATTAACCTCATTGTTGGCATGTTTCTATAACCAGACATGCCTTAAAAAACTTAATTCCCTGTATTCTCCTGTAAAATGTGTTATGATTCAGAATGTTGGGTCGTTTTAATAATCAAACTTGGTCATTTCAGTAGGAAAAGGAAAATGTAAATTGCAACAAACTAAAACAATATTGAGATACGATCAAGAAAGTATATACTTAAATGAATGAATTCAATGCCTTATAAGTATTTTTAAAGGACCTGTGGGTCAACCTGTACAAATGAACAGAATAACAAGTACAAATAGCATTTAGAAATAAAATGTAGATAATAAAACTTGCAAATGTCTACCTTCATGCCCTCCTCCCAGCTGATCCACAGGTCCCCCCGGGTCAGGAAGCAGGCGATGGCGTGCCGGGCAAGGTGGTGGATCCAGCCCTCCTGCCTCAGCTGCGTCATGATGGCGTCGATCCAGGGGAAGCCCGTGCGGCCCTCCGCCCACTTGGCCAGCGCCTCTGGGTTCCGGTCCCACGGGATCTGAACACAGATGGGGTTGCTCTCCATCGTGTCGAAGCAGGGGTTGTTGGTGGCTGCCGTGTAGAAGAACTCACGCCACAGCAGCTGACCGTAGAGCGAGAGAGGGGGGGAGCTGTTCTTCTTCACCTGAGGGGGGTGGAGAAGTGACATCAAGATCATTTTTGATTAGTTTGTTAAAATCAGGAATAAAGCCTGAGTGAAAATGCTGAGTATTAGAGAAGATACAGAAGTCTACAAAAACGGCCAGGCATACATACATATATTTATAATAATATATTGTTCTTAATCATACTTCCTTTTTGTAACGGTTTGCTTTTGAGTATGAATTCATCATCACACCACAAGAGGGAGCTAGCGCAACATAGAAAGACCTCACCTCAATACAGATAATAAATAGGGAACCACTAGATAAAGTAACCTAAAACCCTTTTTATTCTTTTTTATATATATATATATATAAATACTCCAGTAACAGTGCCTGAATCCTTACCAAAAACTAGCCTGAATTAAACGCAATTCACAAACAACTTATTCAACATCCAATTAAATTCGTTTTCTCACTCCATTAAATAGGAGATGTAGATCATCAAATAGCAGTGTGCCAAGAGACAGTAGACTTCTATAAATGTTTTTATTTTTAATCCAAAATAATATAAATGTGGCATGAATAATAAAAAGTGCAAGACAAACCCTCTAAGTAATTTGTAACATTTTAACCCACTTTAACCATTACAGTGTTCATCAGATATTTTAGATACTAGATTTGTTCATTAATATGTTCAGATGTGTTTTAATGACTGACCTTCTTGTACAGGTCGGTGAGTTTGAAGTAGAAGAGGCGACAGGAGAGGCAGCCGAAGCGCAGGTACGGGCTGAGGCCGGTCGGGCTGGCGAGCAGCGAGTTGGCGTTCATTCTGGGACGCTCGAAGTTGGCCACCCACGCCTGAAGGAAACAAGGAGAAATGATCAGGTATGAAAAAACTTGACAGCATGGTGTTATATCACAACAGGTGGCAAGGTTTATCGAAAAGAGCCTTACAAAATAAGGAAAACATGTTTAGTCAATAGCTAGAAGTAGCTGGTTTTTCTTTTAAATAACAAGACAGAAGCTAGTCCTTCTTTATCTGGTTTGACTGACCTTCCTCTCCAGATGCCTCTCGAGTCGTGTGAGGGCCTCTGTTTCTCCCCCCGGCCACACAGCGGAGGACAGACCTTCAGTATCAAAACCTGGAGGCATCACATTTAAAAAATATAAAAAATATGACTATAATGTTGAATAATTTAAA